AGCATTTTTATTTTTTTTTAATATGGTTAAGTTTCACAGTCCAATTTACACGACTCAAGGCATGATGCAAAAGGTAGTAACATAGACAGAAGCAGTACTAAAAGCAGAAATATCTTAAATTGTGCTTGCTGACAAAGACTTCATATCCTAAAACCACTGCTTGAAAACATAGCCACTATACCAAGACACAAAAGCAGAGTTTGCTTTCAAGTGGCTGCTAAATCCAATATGATTGTGATTGAGAGTGTAGTATAACATTTTGGTTCCTGTCCTGGACTAATAATATCTTCAGACTGCCAGCATATCAGCCTGTAAACTTTTAACCTTTGCAAAAGCTGATTAAAAAACTGGAAGTTTGACGTAGACAGAATATTAGTATTGAAAGCTACAGTTTTCATCTTTCAAAGCTCATAGCATGCATTAGTGACATGAATAACCTTGGCAGAAAACATTCTAGAAGCTAGACTGCAGGAATACAAACCATCACAGGTTATGAACATAGTACTTCTGACTGGTTTTATAAATGTGGTAGTTTACATAATCACACGGTCTGCCTGTGAGCGCACCTATTTCTTTGATCCATTTAGCACAGTAACTTTGGAAGGCACCATTCAGTTTCAAACACATTTGTCAGACCAACTGAGCTCTTAATACAATGATGATCCAATGAAGGGGAACGATCATTGGAGATAACTAGAGTTATCACAGTAATGAGGAGAAGCAGATGGAGGGAGATGTCATGAAAATAAATTCCTTATTATTTCTGAAGTACTCAATTATCGCAGCAATAAGCATTGTGGAAAGGCCCATATAGGCCTAAATTCTTTTATATCTACGGATCAGTAAGCGCTGAGTGATGTGGTGTCACATATTTCATGTTAAAGTGAAATATTAGAGATGTGAGACACAAATCCCCTGGGTCTTAATCTTTCTCCTGCTGTACCAACACATTTATATGTATTCACATAAATCTCTGTCATAAACTAACCAGACTTGAGCTGAAAAATGGCTAGGCTTCTTAAGTGACTGCACGAATCTCAAATAAGTCTGTGTTGCTCATACCTTACTTTCAAATCCCCTCTATCTGGACCAGCTCCAAGCCTAGAAAGGAAAAATATTTTTGCTTTCTAACAGCCAAATATCATAAATATCCCAACAACATGAATCCAGTAGTAATCAAACAATTATCAGTGTCCTGAAGGCTTTAATAGGGTTTTAATGGCTGTAACCAGCCCCACCTGGGACTCACACCCATGCCCTCTTTCCATAGGCCCAGAGGCTCCATTTAAGCTCAGCCCTGGGCCTGTACTTTTTGTTTAAGCAGTGCTGTAGGTGTTCTTGCCTGCATTTCTGCCCTCTTGGAGGGATGTTGGCCTTGTGCTATAGGTGGTTTCCCTCCTGGTAGAGCTGTTACGTTTGTTGTAGCTTGTCTCCCTTTCTGCTTCCAGTGTGGGTTTTGGTCAGATGTTGTAGGCTTGGTTCTAGGCCTGTCTCTTGCTGTTCTTGAAATTAGGGCACAGTCTCTGCTATAGTCACTGTCAACCTATAGCTCCATATTCCTCAATGTCCTTGCTGTTCCATGATAGTCATCTATCATATCATCTGCCTTTACTTCTACCTTGCTTTCTAGAACCTAGAAAATGTGTGTCTCTCCCTTAAATCTGTATTTCTTTAACTATTTTATTTATTGTGGTTTGATCATCCAGTGAGATCCTGTGCATCCTGAGGTCTTCTGTTATGCAGAGAGCACAACCTGCTTTTTGGACCCACTTAAGAGCTCTTAATGTTTTTCAGCAGGGAATAACGAGTCAGAGACCAGCCTGCTCTTGTGGTGTTGAGTGTGATGCTCACTTTCCTCCTTCCCTGAGCAGATATCTCATTTCCAATTTTATCTTACAATTTCCTATATATCATTCTTGTTCCTTCCTGCACTTCCATTCCTGGCTGCCTTTCCTATCTCTTCTTCTCTAACAGAACACATTGCTTCTCCTGTTACTTACTGCTGCCTCTTCTATCCTCATTTCACATCTTGGTCAGGTGTAACAGGTCTCTTCATAACTCAATTTCTTCTCCAGTCTTCCTGTCATTACCACTTGCTGAGTTGCTTCTTTGCTCTCTTCTTTTGATCCTCTTTCTGTACTTGTCACTTCATGTTGTGCTCTTCTCCTTAACTATTTGCTCATGTAAATGCAGCACGAGATGATTCTCACTGACTAAACATCTTCCACCCAGTCACAAGAAACACAGACACATTTGCTTTCTCTTCAATTATCCTTTACTGTTTTCTTAATGCTTATCAGTGCTTCTTCCCTGCTCGAAGCCAGTTATCCTTCCATGCATTTGGAAGTATATTTGCAACTGTTCAATAGTAGAGATTGTAAGCAGGAAGCTTCCTTTATGCCTTTGTCTTACTTGTAATATGTCATCCCTAGATAGTCTCCACAAACTACAACTTGCAACAAAACAAGTCAGTGGACAACATCTATTTACCTTCAAAGAACAACTTCATTCTTCCTTCCTCATTGAACTTTCCTGTTTATTCTTAATAATTGTTCATGAGTGCTCATGCCATCTGTGCTGTGCACTGTAAGCACAGGGTTCTGTGGAATAATGAATATTTGATCATGTCATTCAATGCTAAAACAAGATTGCATAGTTTAATTCTGCCATTTCCCAGCTGTATAGTCTCTATTCCTTTCATGTGATTTTTATTGTATAAAGAAAGTGTATATTTTGTATACCTGTAATCATTTTGAAAAAAGACAATTTACAAATGTTGTGCTGAAATACACAGGCATTTCCTGTAAACTAAGAAATTTTTGGTTCTAGTCTGTTTTGGAATTAGTTGAAAAGTTCAGATAGTCTGAAGTTTGGGGTCACTACAAAAAAAATAATTCTGTAGTTCTGAGTCAGGCTCGCTTTTTCCTCAGCTCTGGTCCTTTTCTCTGTTCTATGGCTTCTGAAAAGGACTCATTGCTTTTAAGTCACTGTGTTCAGAGGGGGAACTAAAAAGCCTGAAGAGCCAAATTCAAATGAAGAAAAGCCAAACGCTGTTTCTTGTTGGTATTATTGTTTCTCTGTAATTTGTTGTCATATTTAGTACTTTGAACGTGGATGACTTTCTTGGACAAAGGTCTGGAGAGGCATCCCATAATGTGCTACATGCTGTATCCTCCTGAGGTTTACTGGTGCTGAGCCCTGACAGAGAAATGCATACCCTGAAGTCTGTGCTCAGTCTTCCGTGAGGAGGCAGCCAACCGCTCTGTGCAGCAGCAAATCTGCCAGCTGGCCAGAGAGGGGCAATGGCATCAGCTGCAGCCTATCCCCTTTGCTAGCTGCATGACATATCTGGTCTGGGAGGATTAAAAACCAGGGCAGCAGAGAGCAAATTGCTGCAGGGAGATGGCTTTGGGGGCAGGGGAGAGCATTCACTCTTTTGAATGTTTGTCTTGATCCCAAGCTACCTGCTATGAGGGACGGGGTTGAGGGAGAACAGCAAAGGGGAAGTCTGACTTTCAGGAAAGACTGTGGAGAAGCATAACTCACATTAGTGGTGAGATTAAAGGATTACATTCAATTCACACCACAGTCAAAATGAAATCTCGGCTTCTGCTTTTTGTGTAACGTGCAGTGGGCAGAGCTGTGATGGTGGCTACAGAGCTTAGCATCCTGAATCATGCATGAGGGAGAGAGTCTAGTCCCAGATTTCATTTGCTACTCTAGAACAAATGTCTCCCTCCATGTGAAATACATGCCACTAATTGACAACTGCTTTTGTGGTGGGCAAGGAACAAGATGTACAGTCCCACCTTTCCTCAAATAATTTCTCAGGGGCCTTTCTCTGAGGCATTGCAAACATATTGCAATCTTTTCTTAATAAATTAACAACAAAAAAAATGTGTAAAGCACTTCTTGGATATAGTTCAATTATAGAATCTCATGCACCTGTAGTGGACCTGGTTATTATTATTGTGTATGAAACTAATTTCAATAGTACCTTTCCATTTGAAGGCTGGACTTCACCCAGTTTCTGATATCAAGTTTCTAGTGTGAATACCTGATTTCAAAACTGATATGTATTAAAATATTTTCATGAGTAAAGTTAAATTATTGTATTCCACTGAAAGCAGGTAAGTATAGAGGAAGCAAGATCTTTCTTCAGATAACTTTTCAAGCAAATAGTCGCAGAGGAAACTACGCTATTCAGCCATCTCCAGTCAAGACTTTTTATCACTTCACTGTTTCCCCTTCAAATATTTGGTGAACTTCTATTTCCTTGCCTAGGTAGGTTCATATGTTTAGTTTCTGTAGATCAACTCTGTTCTTCATCCACACCAGTTTCTGTTGAACATCTTCTAGTTTCTCATTATCTGGTAACAATATGGTCAGAACTGAAACCAGTAGTGGAGGTACAGTTTTCTCACAACCGAACAATAAATAACTATTTCCTATCTACTTAGAATCACAATGCTTTTTCTTACACAGCCCAAAGTTTAACTGGGTCATTCCTGATCATCTTTCTTTGCATATTTATATGTAGGCTGGTAAATTGGTGCCTGTTGTATCTAGGTCTATTTCAGCATCCGTGCTGTCCTCCTAGAACATGTGGTTTGGATTGTTTCTCTGTGGGTCTGCTGAGTGGTATTTTTCCAGATTTCACAATTATTTTTGCTCAATTTTTAACTGTGCTGGGAGGTCCCAGATAACTTGCTTGTTTTTCTAACAATTTATAATTTAGTAATTCATGATGATTTAATTACTATCTTCCAGATCACTGTTAGTACCAAATAAGACAGGGACCAACACCCTCTGTTAGGCTGTATTCTGTTCTCCTATGACTCAGCTCTGCTAACCAAGACTGTATTTGACACTGGAGGTTTCTTAACAGAGTCAGGCAGCTGTGGAAGAGCTGTGCAGAAGTCCCGGATCTTCATGAGGCTGTTGGGCACTCCACCGTGTTAATGCTTGTAACTGTTTGACTGTATTCTCTTTCCCTACAGGTCCATGGGAAGTGTGTGTGCAGACACAACACAGCAGGGGACCATTGTGAGAAATGTGCACCACTTTACAACGATCAGCCTTGGAAGCCAGGAGATGGAAAAACAGGGGCGCCAAATGAATGCAGAAGTAAGTGGGAGGGGGTTTACTGATCCAGGGCTTCAGGGTGAGCACTGACAATGACAGCAGGCAAAGTTCTCTGGCTAAGATGTCATCAATTCACATTAATGATGCCATTACAGAAATGGTGGTAAGTTGCTGGTCCTTGATGGAATATTTCAGTATGCTTATTGTTTTACTGCAGCTGATGCATTTGGGCTATTGGACAGCAGAATTCACAAGGAAGAAATCTTTTTGTCCACGCCTATATCCCCTCCTGCATTTTAGCATTCTAGGGTTTTGTGTAAGGCTTATGATACCATCAGGTTGGTTTGTGTTACTATGAGAACATGACACAATTTGCAACCACCCAAGCTTCTTGGGTGTTCTCTGTGTTGCAACTTTGAATTTTTTTTAATGAAAATCAAGGATTGCAAGCAGAGGAAATGTGTTGTATTCAGATATTTCCTCTATGATTCACAGTAGGAAAATGATACTATTTAAATAGCATTTGTTGTGCCTATTGGATAAGCCTGAAGTATGTTTCCCTGTTTCCCATCAGAGTGTCGCTGTCACAACCATGCTGACAGCTGCCATTTTGATCTGAGTGTTTGGCTGGCATCAGGAAAACGCAGTGGTGGAGTCTGTGACAACTGCAAGCATAACACAGAGGGACATCGGTGTCAAAGGTGCAAACCAGGGTATTACCGAGATAAAGGGAAACCCATGTCTTCTAGTGAGGTCTGCAAACGTAAGTGATTACTGTTATGTCCAGTGAAGATGAATGAGTGGTGGAAGCCTGTTGAAACAATCAACAACTATGGAAGTATTACTGTCCTTTCTTTGTATTTTGTTTCTAGACTTCAGTTTTCTGATCAAAGGCCATTTTTCTGATTTGCTGTGTCTATTCCCCTACAGTGTCACAAATTACTTTTTTCTGCTAACTGTAATAGTTCTTCCAATGCATTACATCCTAGTGAAAGTGACATTCCTCTTGTGCTTGCATTTAAAATAATGTGATTCTATTTCTCACTTGAGGTGCATTTTATTTAACTTTTTCCTGCACCTCTATTAAGGCTGGGTGCCTATGTGTAAGCTATTGTTAAATTCCCTTTGATTATGCAACATCTGTGAACATAAATGTATATGATAATGGCTACAGGAGGTGTATATCCATATGGGAACAGATGAATCAGAGCTCACAGACTTATCTCTAAATTCTACAGCTGTATTATGGGGTGCTCTGCCCAAATTAATTGCCTCATTAACACTTCAGCAGGATGTGTTAGGAAGTAACTCACACGCATGTATAACCTCTGGATCAAGGTAGTTTGCACCCAGACAGTCTGGAACATAGCCAGAACAAGCCCAAATCTCCCTTACTATAGATGTTCTCTGAGTATTCTGCCAAGCTTCACACCTCTTATTCCATCTGGCATCTATTTGTGAGGATGCTATTTTCAACAATGTACGTGATTTTGATTCTCTCTTTGGATAGTCTTTCTTCCCTTCAACTCAGACATCGGTTGCCAGCATGGAGAACTTTGGCCTCTGTCATCCATACTCATGTCTGTTGGCAGCATATGCCTTTGAAGCTTTCCTAACACCTTGATGGTCTTCATCAAGATTTCTCTTAGACACTCCTCTCCCTGGGACTAATGGCCTGTGATATTGCTTAAACTTTCTGTGAACAGCACATCCGATGCTTCTGGTCTTCTGTATACTTTCCACTGGAATATCTTCCCAATTAGGGCCAGTAAGGACTGCTTCCACACAACTCTTTCTCTTTGATTTCATAATTTCCAAAGAAAACTGATAGACAGGGTTACGGTGAGTTTACCTAATTTACTCTGTATGCCATAGCGTTCTACAGTGGTTTCTCTTCAGTCATGTTTTTATTCAGTGCAGATTTTCTACAGGGGAATACACCTTTATGCCAGAAGATTAGTTTTCAGTCTTATAGTATCTGAAAGTATTTGTGTATGATCACTGGTATACAGCAGTCGGGTGAAGGTGTAGTAACCAACATTGTGTGTAATATTAGATAACCAGTAACATAAAGGTGCACTGGAAAGAAGCAGAAAGGAAAAAAAAAATGTTTGAAAATAGAGCCTACCTGTGAGGAAACCCTAGAACAGTCTGCCTGGGTGAAATCAGACCTTGACTCTACCTCTGCATCTTTTGTCTGGTCCCGTTACAAGCCTTGTAGTGCCTCCTGCCAATACTCTGCATAGCAAAAGAAAAACTATTCAGAGGGATAAGCAGAAATTTACCATGCTGAAAGAACTTTATTCCTATCATGCCAATCAAGCACAATAACATTCTTTTCACCTGGGAACATGCTGCTGCCAGCAGAAGTCCCCCAAATACAATTGTTTCCACTCTGCCTTGTGCAATCAAGCCTAGATTGCTGCCATTCCACTCTAGCTACCTGAAAGTTGTGTGTCTTTTCCAGCCTCCCTGTACAGGCAGTGGAGAAGTAGTAGTAGGGTGTCCAGGGGATGATTTATTGTGTTCCAACATAGACACCTGTGACAGATGAACTGAATTGCCCTCTGAAGTGCAATTCTATTTCTTTTCCCTGACTTAAGAGGTATTCTGGATCACTAGCCTGCATCAGAGTTTCTGTTGGTTGAGATGAATCTAACAGGTTTGACCAAGCATTAACACCAATAAGTAAACCTGACTTTATATGTGCATAACTGAAGTCACTGAGACCTTTCACAGACATGTTAAGTAGTGCATGGATGCTTGCCATATTAAGGTATAAGGGAAGGGCAGGCAGTTCACTCTTGAAAGCATCAACTTTTATAGCAGATTGGTGTGTGCATGATGCTTGTACTTGTGTGGAAAAAGAAGGGATATTCGAGATATAATTAACAAGTTAAGCTTATGTGTAGTGAGGAGTGTGTGTATTGGGAGAGGGGTATTGTTCTGCTTTTTCTTATCTAAGGTGAGGAAGACAATTCCCACAATGCCCTTTGACAAATTGCCTTAACAAGGTAGCATTTTGTACGATGAAAGAACTGATCCCCAAACACTTACGCACTGCCTACATATCACATGAGAAAGTGTGCACTTTGTTATGCTGTACATCTGCAGATAATTTTCAGGGAATATTAGCATACTTTGGACATTATTATCAGTGATAGCAAAACTAGGAACCATAGTGCAGACAGGCAGAATTGTTTTGGTTAGAACAGACTCAGTTTGATAGAGGTCAGATTTGAGATTTCACCTTCAGAACTACCATCATGTCCTTATGCCTAGTGCTGATACTAGACTCAAAGACTCCATGCAGATTGAAAGACAGAGCATCTGCTCCAATTCTTTACGTTGCAAGACCTGCATTGCTATTAAATGTAATCTGGTGTGGTATGAGTAAATTGTTCAGGTTGTATGACCCTAAAAAATGGTTATTTGTTAAAAAGTTACTGGTTTTTTTTTGTTTGTTTTACCTTGTTAATAAGTACTAAAAGCAATAATCATATCGGGTAGATTTTTCTCAGCCTGCTGATCATAAATTGAAGAGCTGCCAACACTGGACCAGAATGTGAAGATTTGCATGTACCACTTCACAGAATCACAGAATAGTTGAGGTTGGAAGGGACCTCATCAACTCATTTTGAGAAAACCATGCAAGCAGCACCAGGCAAACAACACTAAATAACCCACCCACTGGGCAAATGCTGAAAAGCAGTAATAAACTGCAAACAGCAGGCTGAATGGATTATTTTGGTGAGAGCAACCTGGTCATCAGCTTCCCATTTTGAAATCAGAGAAGAAAAATCTCCATGGGAGATCAAAACTTGACCCATGTGTACAGTGGATACTGAGCTGGGAAAGGAAATCTGATGAAAAAGCTGAATGAAATGCTGTGCTAATCCCTTTGAGAAAGCACGCTTGAAGAGTGCTCTGCCATCCAGAGCAAAGTCTAGGTTCAGCTGTGGCAGCCCCCTCAGGCTCCCAGAAAGTGAACAGGACTCTGCCCAGGCCCAGAAAGTCTTTAAGCATTAGTCATAATAATGAACAGCATTGTCTCTTAATCACTGCTAGGAAAAAAAAAAAAAAAAGTTGTATAACAATTGGATGTCCTGGCACTATCCAAACCACCCTTTGCTGACCTCCAGTATAAGACTGCAAAGACCTTCCCTTGAAAAAAAAATAATAATCTGTTGAAGTTTGACATGTAAGTGTGAATCTGCTATTCCTTTTCATCTGCAGAGACAGCCCGCCTCTGATCCCTTTGCTTCTCTTCTTCCAGCTGGGGATGAATGAGAGCCAGGTCATGTACAGAGACTTGTTTCAACACTGTTTAGATTTATTAAATTAAAAAAAAAAGAAGGCATGAGAAAAGTCACAGAGCCAAGCCTGGGACACCTGCTTGTTATTGGGGGTGACAACACAGGATTAAGCAGTTTGAATATAGATTTGTGTGAGAGCTTTGACTCATAAGCCTAATCGTTTCCTAACCAATGGTTAGAAAAGCTGCTGTATCCTTGGCTCTTTCCTGTGGCTTATTTGGAGGCTTAAAGGATCCTTCTGAAATGGCACCATCTTTTGTACTCACACTTTGCTTAGCTTAAAAAAAAAATGCAGGCATGTAGACCAATTAGAAAGGCTCTCCAGGAAAACAAGCTTTCTACTCTAAGCACAAGGGTTGAAAATTAAAATGTGACCAGATGCACATGCACACACATTCCGAAAAGCTCTGCTGCTCTTCCTTTTACTTCTGCACAGAGGGAGTAAACTTTTAATTGTGATATCACAAAGGCCTGATCACATCTTGGTTCAGTCTGTCTTAACCAGCCCTGACCACACACACAGCTGTCTATCTTATTGCCTTCAGTTAAGAAGCATCATTGGCTGAGTCAATCCCCACATCTGACATGCTTTAAAAATTGCTCTGACTTGGTCATATGCTCAAAAGATGCACGTGTATATATTTCAGATTCAAAAGGCGTTGTTGCCTGTTTTTCATCAAGTAGCTGGTCTGCTCACAACTATCTTCTGCAGTGTAACTGCACAGAAGTTTAAGGGGAGATGCCTCAAAGTCCACTGATCTACTTGGACCTCTTGCTATTTTTCTATAACGTGGTACCACGTTGTTGCAACCCATATTGCATTTTACATCTGTGTCCAATTACATGGAGAAGACAGCTGTGCTGAGGGCAGACAGATTTATTGAGGATTTGAGTGGAGACTGTTGTATGAACAATTTTATTTTTTATTTCTTGTCTCCCTCTTTTACAGTATGTTACATCCAGTAGAGTGACAAAAAAAAACCTTAGGAGAGTAAAAGCCAAGAGGATGCTGCTAATACACAGTGAAGTGTTGTTCATTAGACTGCTGTCAAGGGGAGAACCCATACAAACCAGCCATCTCTGGGCCAGAACTGTCCGCACACCGTCCCTAACATAATTGATGATGCCTTTGACAAACAAGGCCATTGTCATGCTGGCTCATGTTTTGTTAGACAGGGAGGTGGATAAAGAGAAGACTAGGGTTTGCCAAGAGGAAAGAAGCAAAACTCAGCCGGGGAAGGTTCTTTGTTAAATATTGGGAAATGTGAAAGGATGGGTTTTTGGAAACTTGCTTTTCTGTTCTTTTAGTTACGAGGTTTATTTGCAAATCTATGATACCATTAAGCAGATAAAACCCAGTCGTCAACAACGGCCCCTTCAGCATGTGGCAAGTGAGCTCTTATTTGGGGAGTTTCCTTAGATGCATAACTGATTTTGGCCATAACACTCTGTAAGCCAGACAATGTACACACCCAAGCTGAAATGCTAAATAAACACAGACTGAGTAAAGCATTTGCAAGCCACTTGTATAACTCATCTGAAAGTGTTGTACATTTATTGATCTGGCTTGCTCTCTGATCCACCAGAAGGCTGTCCATGTTTCTAATTGGGAAATATGCCCCACAGTTCATTTGGGAACATCAGTTTTCATCAACTGCAGTCCTGAAATAAATTAAAAACCAAACCCAAAACCCAACAACAAACAAAACAACAAACCATTCTTTTTTCTACCTCCTTATCAGCTGTCAATGCTATCATTCACTGTCCTGCAATACTTTCCCTCGGGGATAGGCTGGGAGAAGGCCATGTCTTAACTCTGAATCTAGACTCAGTTATAGGGAGGCTAATGATGCTAAGGATATACCCATCTGTTATGTGACCCTCGCAGATAAAACATGAAAATTGGAAGTAAAATATGAATGAAGACAGATCCAGAAGTTGCAGAAACATGAGGAATTTCAGGTGAAAACTCCACAGGTAGATCATATCTACAGAGATACTAGAATGAAATCAGAAACCTGGATTCAAGCCAACATAGATGTTGGCAACCTCTGACTTCTTGTCAACCTCAGACAACTTGCATTAAAGAAAGAGTGTTTCTGCTCCTTATCCCCAAATCTATGGCATCCATTTTTTTTTCAGTGGTGGATGGAACTAAATGTCTTCTTTTTTAGGATGATGTAGTCAGCCCTGCAAAAATCTGGGCAAAAGTAATTCAAGTTGAGCAGTGACAAATCAGAACTTGCCTTTGAAACTGTCAATGCTAATGAGCGCTTCGTTGTTACACCTGCTCTCCAGAACTGACAGCAAAATCCCTGGGTTTGCTCCCAAAGTCAAGACTGCTTTGTGGCAAACAGGCGAGCCTGCTGCCATCCGCCAACCAGCTCATTGTGTTGAGTACATTGCCCATGACAGCACGCTTATTTTCTGTCCTTAGGCTATTGTGCTAGTGTCCCTTGAAAACAACTGACTGAGATCTGTCTACAGCAGAGTGTAATAATATTATTAAAAATACTGGCATAAAGAACACAGGGCATGGTGAAAAAAATAACTATGTAGTAAGCAGATCATAAGAAAAATGCCTATTAAACAAAACTGCTCACCCTTTTTCTCATTCTGTTTTTGGAAGATATTTTTTCTTGAGCATCAGATGTGAGGTTCCAGATGAAAGTGAATCTGCACTTGCTACAGTTAACACTCTTTGTAGTCATATACTCCCCCTCCCCTTGGAAAATGACGTGTGGAATCAGAGCATTCATTTGTTCTAGTATCTGTGAGCTCATGAAGAAAAGTAGTTTGATTAGTAGCAATGATGGGCAAACTTCAAAAGCTTTGGAGATCATGTTTGGTTCAGATAACCATCCAGAAGGCTGGCCCCTGATCCAAGCTATCCAAACACCTTGGGTGTCCAACATTTAACCGAAAATCTCTGTTAAAGCAGGTCTTAGCCATAACAGTTTTACTTCTCCCCTTTTCTAGATGGATGATGTAGTGATGCATTTACTCCTCAGTCTCTGCTACAAGCAAAAGCACAATGCTTTGTTAATATATAAGTTCAGCTTAGTTCTCCTTTTAATCTAATTTGTTTGAATATCAAAATGGGTGGGTATGTTTATTGTTTTTATTTTACCTATGCAGAGCTGTTGGCACAAGGCTTGACCACTTCAGCTTGTCTCTTCTCTGATAAGAAGTCAACTGAGCCTGGCTTTGCACCACTATAGATATGGATAGATACAGATATGACTTTCCACTTCTCTCCATTATGCTGTTGCCTTGGGAATTTACTGGTGGTATGGGACTATGACAATTTGTTGTATTTGAAGGCAGAGTGGCCCACAGGAGCTGTAACTATACTGCTATGTTGTCTTGGGTTGCTGAGGATGGTGTCAAATAGGTGATAGCATTGAAGATCTCTTTTTTTTTTTTTTTCCTTGTATTGCTCTTCCACTATACATGAAGTATGTCTAGTGAGTTTAGAGATTCTCTCTCATTCTGTCACCTTTTCTTTCAACAAGTCTGTTCATGTATGTGCACAATAAATTTAATCACCTTCCCCCTACATTTACAGTACTGTATGGTGAGACATCCCTTAGAATGTGAAGGAAATCTGTGGACTTCTTGGAGGCAGAAATTGAGGAAATATTTCAGGTCATCTGAACCACGTGCATAAGCCACATCTAGCCCCAGAAGAAACACTAGTTTTGTGCTGTTTCTTTCATAGGAAAGATGAAATATATGCAGGTAGTAGCTATCATTTGAGACCACATCCGTGTTAATGAATCTCTCTGTGAATCACCTGAAAGCTGCTTGAGAATTGAACACACAGTGGAGGCCTCCTGCCACTGCTTCAAAACCCTGTATATTCCAGATTTGTGGAGCAGGAAAGAATTGACTTTCACACACATGGGTCTTAGTTGGATGTGTTTTGCTGTGCTTAATGAGTTATAAAGAAAAAGAATGTTGCAATCATAGGCTGACAATGCAATGGTTACCTGCATCATTTTGATATAAAACTGCTGAGCATCAGGAAGAGGGAAGGGGTGTATCAACCTTTCAAAAATGTCACTTAACCTGATGACCCCTGGGCACATAATCTCAGTCACCTCTTACCGTATTTCCATAGCTTGCTCCTGCCAGCCAATGGGTTCAGCCAACGCAACTTTCAGCAGAAGCTGGCGATGCCACCCCAAGACGGGATTCTGCTACTGCAAGCCGGGTGTGGCGGGCCCCAACTGCGATAGATGTCTCATGGGCTACTGGGGCTTTGGAGAGAATGGCTGTCGTCCTTGTGACTGTGCCAGAGACTGCGACCAGCATACTGGAAACTGTTTCAATGGGTAAAGAAGCCCTTTTTTGGGTTCGCTTTGAGATGGGATTCTGTAAAAATGAAACGAAATTTAACTGAAATAGTGCAGTGATGACAGTAAATGGAGGATGCTGGAGAGGACCAGGGGATGCACATAGTTTGAAAAAGTGGCTGTAAGTCATAAAATGTATCTTGGATTCCATTTGGTGGCTGGCACACTTGTAAACCCATTGTATTATCCAAGGCGAACTAGAAATGATGACTTTTGCAGTAACAGGCAAGTCCACAGCACCAAAGTAGTCTGTACAGCATTTCTAAACGCACCTGTTTGCCTTGGAAATAAATGTAAGAGTCTGGAGTGCTTGCCTTTCCTCTGTGCCCAGGGTAAAAAGATACAAGGTCTTCCTTTTTGTTTCTGGAAGGCAGGCATCTGCACCCCAAACATGCTTTAATCTCAGTACAGGAATCCCATGGCTTGCTTGCTGACTGGCTGCAGTTTTATTGGTCCTGCAGGTGTCCTTAGTTCCTAGTAATGCCAGCAAGTGACCACTAACTTTGAGTTACTTGGTTGTTCAGTAAAAATAAACAAAATAAAAAAACCAGCAAAGCCAAAAATAACCTAAAAAAAAAAAAAAAAAAAAAAGGCAAGAAAGGCTCAATACACAGTTATTTCATAAAAATAGTAAGTCAGCATTGCTGAGGCCTAAATAAAAGCCTAGATCTTGTGGTTTCTCTGTATGGCATGAGGTTTTGCTCTTATTTACACTCCCAACCAGAAGAGAGAAAGTTTACCTGTCTGGATGCAGCTACATGCTATGACCACTTGCTTCCCACCCACCTTGTGTTCTAACCGAGTCTTCTCTTTTTATTCCCTTCCAGCTATGACAATGAGCCATTCTTTAATATCCCCATTGGGGGACGAATCCCTGACCTTGTGCAAACACCAATTAATGAGAGTGAGGATGAGTGGAAGTGGAATGACCACGAGCAGGGATTCTCTGCCCTGAGGCACCCAGGTACAGCCCAGAGTCTGGGAACAGCTGGAAGCTTCCCTCTGTGCCAGCTCTTTCTTCTCTTCACCCCTACTTAAATTCTCCTACTCATCTCTAGCTCCAATCTGTCCCCCATCTGCTGGCAACATCTGCTGATTTGAACTATCGTTGGTTATTATTATACCTACATTGTTATTTTCCAAACAAGGCTCTATTTTTTTCTACCACTTTGTTTTTGGAAACTGATGAGACATAATTAAGATTGTGTGAAAAAACACGCCCCATTTGTGGTCCTAATTATAGTCACAATGCTTATGAATTTGCACAGCTTCTCAAGTATTCAGTTTCCCACAACTTCAGATGCCATTTGTAAAAATACCACGTCAGCTGTCACTGAAACGCAGCCACGTCTGGGGTGGCACGCAAATGGTTTTAAGAATAAGGAATTCCTCATGGCACAACAGCTCAAAAGAGAAAGCAAAGAGTTACTATGCTGTATCCAGCTAATGTCATAAAGTAAGCAAGCTTTTAGAACGAGGTGGAGTCTTTAATACTTGAACTGTTGTTGGTGTTGCTTGCCACATGTGAAAGTCAGCACTGACTAGCATCAACGACTTGGTAAGGCCCAGAGGTAACAGTGCCACCTGTTTCATATCAAGACTTCCCCTGAGAGGCGTATTACCTTAATAACAGCAAAGTTCAGCATTTCTTAGCTTATGTGATTGAATAAAATGTATTTTTACTTACTTGATTTATACCTGGGTCCAACAAAACTCTATTAAATATCAGTTTATTATCTATATAATAGGCCCCATGAGGGCCTCATTTTACTCAACAGTACTGATAAGATGTCAGACAAATTATTGTATCATCTAACAAGTAACACATTTGCAAATAACTGAGTTCACTCTCAAACTTCAGATCCACCCATATTATAGAAGTTAGATACATCTATCTTTATAACTGAATAGCATGTGCTTTTCTTTCCTCTCTCATGTCCTGGCTCTTCTCCAACACCTTGTGTTCTGTGGTTTTCCTGCTAGAAAAGTGTGTGTGCAAAGAGAAGGTGCTTGGAAGTGTCACTGACTTCTGCCAAATGAAATATGCTTATGGTAAGTGAGTGATGTGCCCTCAAGGTATGATACTTTCACTATGTTGTTTATGCATGTTATTAGCTGATAGCAGGGAAGAATTACAGAATTGGCAAAGTCATGAAATAAGAGGTAGGATTTCCTCTGCCTTTTTTGTCCAGTGACACATCCAACTTTTGATCAGAGCTGAGCAGTGAATAGCCTATTTCATACCAGGTTCCTTGGTGTCTCCTTTCCACTTTCATTTTTTGCAGCAGGAGTGCTACAATTTGAAGTCTGCAGAATGGTTGACCTCTAGATCAAGAATAAATGATAAAAGCCTTGCATATAACCTGCCATTGCTTTTGCACTCATTGTGCAGGCTCAAATGGCCATGCTTGCTTACCGAGAATGTATTTAATACCGTGGGTTATGAACACCTGGTTCATACCATCACATGAAGAAAGGAAGGCTTTGAGGTTTGATGTGCTTGTGTCATGACACAACAAAGCCTGCTTATGGGGCCTATCCGGATGAGTCTACTCTGCCAAAAAGTTATGGATCCTACCAAGTTAAAGGAGCAGAAATTTATCATGGCAACCAGATGTTAGACCACAAAACAAAAATACTTTTTCTGGCTTGTTGTGCAATCATGGAATTTCACCATGTGACATGCCTACAGTCTGACAGGAAACTTCCTGACTTCCTTCCTGTGGAGGAGACAGTCCCTTCCCACGGGACACAAATTTTGAAAGGTCAGAGGTAAAGCTATAGAAATTCAACACAGGTTTTCAAATTGTCAAATATAAGGCAAATAATCAGTGTGCTTCTATCAGACTGTTAACAGCTGATCTGTTTTTGCACCCTTCCTCTGCCTACATACAAGTGCTTTACTATGAGTTCCAGGTGTTTGACAGCAACCCATTAAAGAGCAGTTGATAAATAACATGGTGAAAGGATTAGATAATTCAACAGAAAAAGCCAGTTTTCCTTCTCTAAACTCATTTAGAAGGAATTATGAATGCCATGGAACACAACTTCTGTAAAACTTCAGTGTTTTTCATGTCTTCTTCCAAGGTGTTAAATCGCTTAGAAATTCATTGTTGTCTTATCTTGATGTTTTCTGGCAGTGATAAAAGCAAGAATCCTATCAGCTCATGACAAAGGGACGCATGCAGAAGTTGTTGTGAAAGTGAAGAAGATCCTGAAATCAGGCAAAGTGAAAATTGCTCGGAGCAACAGAAGCATTTACCCCGAATCCTGGACCAACAGGGGATGTACCTGTCCCATTCTCAATCCTGGTAAGGACAAAATGCTTGTAGCACTTGTTCTGTGGGGTCACACTCAGGTGTTCATCAGTCTCGTCTATATCTGCACTGCTGCAAATCAGGAATAACTCCTTGGAAAGAAGAAAGTCATGTAGCGTGAGTGATAGAGATCAAAACCAACTGTGGTAAAGCAGTTCCAGGTAACATAAAGCAGAGTAAACCTATTTCTTTCTGTGGACTATTAAGAAAAATGCCAGCTGTAAGGCACTCCAGGTTTAAACACTCAAAGCCAAACCACGCTTCCTTGTGGTGGGTGTGCTAGGTGGAACCTTTATCTATTGGACAGTAGCTAGACTTAAACTATCTTCAACAGCTACTGTATGAGCAGTTCAGCTACTCCAGCCCACAGCTTGCTTCCCCTGTAAACAGTGGTGACAATTCTGAGTTTTCTGATAACAGTTCATTAAACATCTGTGAGACACAATGAGTGAGTGATCACCTATTAGGGTGCCCCATCACTGCAGGTTAGCTCTCTGATCCTGCTGTGAACTGCCTGATGGTTCTGTTTCCTGAGGTCTGAATTGCTGTAGTCTCCCAACTGCGAGAAGGGAGCGTGGATTGCTGTGGCAGAACACACAGCTGTCACACTGAAGAGCCATGCCAGCTGAGCTGCATAGGGCACGTAGATTAATCCAGCCCTTCAGGCTGCTCAACAGCCAGCCCGCATGCAGCCTCTCTCAGGCACTTCAGTAATTGTGTTTATTTTGTTTCTCTCCAGAACACTGACAATGTGGTCTTTCTGTTGCCAAGAGTTTCAACTCTGAGTTCCTTCTTGTCTTTACTCCAAAAAGTTTCGTTCCACAGATGGAACCCAAAGAATTGCTCTTTGGAAGTTAAGTGGGTGGATATAAAAAGGTTGTCTGCCTTCCATCAGGATGGATGTAGAAATCTCAGCTAAGATCAAACAGCCAGCACAAAATTTTACAATAACAAGTAAAATTAAACAAACAGAAAACAGCAAACAAAAAAAAACCTATTCTTTGTGTATGACTTTAAAACACTTTTCTTCCCTGAACACCTCCACATAGAGGCTGCTGAAAATAAAAGATCATAAACTGCCAGTGTAAATCTAGTCGTGCATAGCGTATTCTGGCACTTGCAAAACCAGAAAATACACATGTGCAGTCCATGTTCCACACATCTATTAATAATACTACAAAACCAAAATATCCAGCCCCACACGTAATTTGCAGTGGGTGCCTCTCATTTCCTCCAAGTTCTGATCACTGAGGGAATTGTAATTGTCACAGTTGATAAAATACAAGGAGTGCTTATCTATCTAAGTCAGGGACAGGATTTTCAGTGGTACTTGTCTGTAGTCTGCACGTGCAGTTACCTACTTTTTTGTTCACAGACTTTGTTCTTTGAGGCCCATATACCTGTATCTTAAAGTTATAGGTCTAGAAGTCTGGCTTACTATTATCATATATAAAAATTGAATTCTGCTACTCATTATACCTATACAGGCCAGAAGTAATGCTACTGAAGCACGCAGAGTTAGACTGGCTTAAAACAAAGGTCAGAGGTAAGACTCAAAACTGGTCACCTGCACACTGAGGCAGTGAATTCACAAGTGGTAAACCCACTGGAACTAAATCAATTTGTAATTGCAATTTCTGCACGTAATTGCATGACATTTAACCTGTGTGGCCAGGAGTCAGCACTGACAACGTGCCCACAAAGGCATGTATATAGGTAAGACTGCACGTGCACAAGCTGGGATATAAAAACTGCAGGAAGCTAAATGCCACAATATCACATGCCAGATCATTAAGAAATTGTGAAATTCTGTTTAGTCTTACTCTCTTCTTAGTTTACTTTTTTTTTTTTTTTTCTCCTTTAAACTAGGTACTGACTACCTTATAGCAGGCCAGGAAGACTCTAGGACCAGCAAACTTCTTGTGAACATGAACAGCTTGGTTAAACCCTGGAAAGCACATTTGGGAAAACAAGTAGCAGATATTCTTCGAACTGGGTGCAAGTAATTTCTGCTTCAAAACTTACAGTGATGAACTTTGCCTTTTAATAACACTGCAGTGAAAGGTTTAGGTAGTTTGTATGTTTCCATTCATTGTGCTCCTAGCTGAAGTGACAAAGGCAGGCTCACCACCCTTTCTCCTTTCATTTCCCTGGACAGAAAACTTTGGGACATGACTTTTTTTTTCCAGCAATGCACAGCCTTATCACACAAAATGAACTAGTGCATCATATGTAGGTTGCAAGTCAGTTTTTAATTTGAGCCTGATTCCATGTATCCAGAGAATCATTTTACAAGGCCAAACTGAAGCTATGGATCAGTGTTTCCATACTTCAAGTCAGAGCCTGATACAAGCATGTATAAGCTGCTTACATAATGCATTCATTACTGGGGTGTAGTTTTCTTTATGTAAGTGACCACTAACAGGCAGCAATTTCTTTCAGCTTTACAAGTGGCATAATAGTAGACAAGTATGTCAAACATAATAATTACCTACAAGAGCTCAGATATTTTTATTTACCATCGAACTGTTGTTATGCCAATATAACATGCTGCTTTCTAGAGGACAATATTATCACACTGCTGAACAGAAACTAACATGGGACTTAGATCGGACAAGGCTCTATAGATGTACATTGCTATCATCAGTGCTTAGTGATGAGGCCTGCTGCAAAAAGCAACTTGATTCCAAATCCAACTTGTGCTCTCTAAGGTCATTTTGCTCTTTCCTGTAGTACTTGAGTCTGTAACACCACACAAAGGTTTCACAATGATTACCACCAAAAAGCCTTATGCTAGGAAAGAGCCAAAAGAAGTGAAGAACGTCAGCTGCTCTACTGTTGAATTTGTAATTCTACAAAAGCTACAGAAGTAGGCGGAGGTAAATTGGTTGGCTGGACTGCGTTTTAGATGAGGTAGCTGTGAGAGAGATGTGGTACTGTTAGATGAGGTACTGTGAGAGCAACCTGGCTATTCGAGCTGTGCTCAAGACCACTGCCATTTGATTTGCACTTAGTGCTTTCATTCTGCTTTATTTGTCTTGGTCATACTCAAGGTTAAGATCTGAACCTAGGCTGCCTTCCCATCGCACCTGAGGATTGCTTCTCCCCCCAGAAATATAGGGGAGGTTAACAGCTGCCCTCTAGATAGTAGTTCTGTTCTGTAAAAGCATTCTTTCTAAATCTGTTTCACTGTTCTCTAAAGGAAAGGAGAGGTAGCTACTTAAATTGTTCCCTAACACAGCATTTTGAGGAAAGTGTAGTTCAAGACTCTGTCTGTGGGAGAGGGGACTCACGAGCACATGAAGCTCATTGGAACGCCTTCCATCGTTAAGTAAAGCAAAAATTACAATGGATTAGTCTGTACTTTCAGGTGGTTACAAGTGCCACTTCCGTATATTTCTGCTCCATGTCTATTACTTGAGCTCTCAAGAAAGATGAGGTATCTTAATTTAGCACTCCTTGACTGGTGCATGGAGTATCTAGGAAAACCTTAAGCTAATGCACAAGGATGTCTGTTCCAGGCTACATTCAGGCCATCAGTTTGTTCTCTTTATCACTGAGAACCTGAACAAATCAGCTTCATTAATTCCATGTCAGTTTTCCTTTTAACTTTGTATTGGTTGAACAGCTGAAAAATCTTCAGGTCATTTGGAAGTGGGCGATAGGCAGATATTTACAAAATGAAAGCACCGCTTTTCTCCTAACTGTGCGTAGTGTTTCTTCCCCTTCCTTTTCAAGTGCTCCCCTTCTCCATTGCCACTGATATTCCTCTTCCCTTCTATTTATTTGTTGTTGCTAAACTGGTATCCAAGTATATGGCATCTCCAACAAGCCATTTAATTAATGCAATAAAACACATTGTAACAAGGATATTTGGCTTAATTTATATTAAGCTTATAGAAGTTAAAGCATAACAACTGCTTTCTTTATAGTCTTCAGGCTGTCTGCACAAAAAGATTGATGATCTTCCTTCCAAGTAGCAATAAAGATGTGCACATTAATTTATAGTCTGTTCTCAAAGGGCCTCTCAGTATAAGTGAAAATCAAGTGAAGGTTTATAACTAAGTTAAGGAACATGCTTTTCAACACAGACCATTTTACCTGCGGGGCATCCCATTTACCAGCTATCATATTCCACTTTGGTTTACAGTCAGTATTGTATTAAAGCAAACTTCCATGTTTCAATTTTTGTGCCAGATGGATGGTTTTGTGGAGAGAGTAAACAGCTGCATAGTTCCTTCTGTGGGCGAAAATTATTTGTTACAGGGTCATTCACAAGTATTTCCAGCAACTGCTAGGAGAAATACCATCTGTAACGCAAATATTCATACCCCAGCATGTTCTCTTAGGGCCTACTGTAATACAGCGATTAATAACTACCATACTGCAAACACTGCTGTGTGCAAAGATTGCCATCAATTTATCACACACTTCAAATATCTCAAAACTGGGTGACATCCATACACAGTGAGGTGTGTGTAGGGGGTGACCCTAAAAACATTCGACCAATATATTTTCCTAGTTTCCCATTTTTTTGGATCTCAAATTTATTTGCTCATAGCTGTATAGTTAAGTGTAATTTATTCCCTCTATTAGAAACAATGCACATTTTATTCCAACTACTAGTTCTCATTTAATGGCTTTGCTCTGTATAGTAACAGGTATTCCGTAAGTATGGAATTTAATTTCAAAGTACAAAATGAAAGCATATGATGGTGAGTCAACACTGCAAGTTGACTTTTTATGTCTCTGTCTGCTGATCTGGTATCTGAATTAACAGAGAAGAAAAATCAAAGAATGAAGTTCCAGCCCATACTATCACATGCAATCTATTTGTTCTGCAGTGTTAAAAATCCAAGTAGTCTATCTGAAAATAAGTATTGAAAATTAGTCAACATGAACTGCAGAAATCAAGTTAGAACAGCTACTGATTAACGTGCTGATGAGAAAGTTTAAGTGATCACTATGTGACTCAGGAAAGGAAAAAAAAAAGTTATTTTCTTGCGTATTGGTATCTGAAAAGATGAGCATGAGACAGCAAGATGACAACTGTTTTCCTAGCAGGAGCCGTTACATATTTCTCAGAACAAGTACACACGGTCACGGCACAGTAAATTAACAACAGCAAAAAAACCCTACCACAGAAGATATCTCTTTCCAAGAGGAATTGTTTTGTAGGTCTGTATTCAATATCAAATATCTTGTGCCCATCTGTCATAGGTGGCACAGCAATATAAATAGCACTAACATGGAGAAAAATATGTATTTGCCCAATACAGAAGTGGCTGGACAGCTTCTTTCAGTACTAGCGCCCACCTTAAAAGATGTCCCCATGAACAACCGTACAACACCCACATGGATAAGGTGTCTCAGTAGCAGCAGCAATCACATACCAAACAGTAGCAATAATGCATCACTTGGAAATCCTGCATAAGGATTAAATAAAAGCATTTACCCACAAGACAAATCTGGAAAGCTGTGGAAAATTTGTAATAGTGCAGGCAATTGCTTGAAGGGGAAGCACATTTAAGTTTCCACAGCAGCAAGCTTGGTATTGCTGGTCAAAACAGCTCTCTAGCAGCTGTACAGCATGTGCAGCCATTAACACATGGTCACTCTTGCAACACGCACCCCAAAGCATCAAATTAGTTAATTAAGTGGCCATTGTGAGTGCACAGCCTTAACTCCAATGTAGTAACATATCATTACTAATGCTTCTTCCTCTGCTGCTCCTGGCAAGCAGCTAAGGAAAATCTATCTACGCACAACCTTGTGCAGTGCTCTTTGGAAAACGGCTCATTGCTATAAAGAACAAGTTTTCTCTGTAGTGTTTACTGTGTCTCATGATTTTTCCATGCTGCTTGATGTAAGTTTTCTTTGAATTAATATAATTCATCTGATGTGCTCTCTGAAGAATCCCCCAAACCTGGAAGAGCTAGTGTGTTATTTGTTAAGTGTTACAGCACATTCTTTTTTGTACTTAAAACTTCAATTAAAAATACTCAAAACATTTACACTGATGTGAGGTTTGGGATCTATTTTTAAAATTTTAAACCACACAATCCTCAAACCACATGCACATTAATTCTTTTAAAATTAATAAACCACAAGCATTACAGACATCAGGCTCTTGCTTCAACAGTCAGGCATAGTCAGGCAAATGGAGAAAAGCATTTAGCCAATAAGGCAACCATGATGGTTTTTTCTACTAACTTGTGAAAAAATGTCCATTTTGTATTAAAAGGTACAGACTGAACACAGAACAAGTGCTGTTGATTTATGCTAATCCAATAGCTGATTGAAATTCAATGCTGCAAAACCTTACATGCAGGTACTTGCAGGTATTTAATTCCCCATTAAAACACATACATGAAGTTTACAAGTTTGAAGTCTAAAAAGATACTTACCAGGTTCTTAACCACTTATTTGCACATAGTTGATTTCTGGGATGCAAGACATGAAAATAGAAAGGTATTTTTGGTACGTGGAAGATGCCTACCTATAAATGCTCAGAACTTAGACGGCTGCTTGTGTTAGTCCCCATGCTTAAAACCAAACCCAACAAATTATCAGAGACTTACCTTTGTAATTCTTTGTTGTAGTTGAACTTATTCTTCAATATACTGTACAACTGGACCTCTGAGGCCTAACCTTCTTTCTTGATACAGTAATGACATGATAAATACCGCCATCACACTTTTGTCTTGCAGCTTGTGATGGGCAAGCCATGATGTACTACTTTTAAACGCACAGGTCTGAGTCCTGAATTAAAATTTAGTTTTAGGAGATTGTCCTACATTGGCTTATGTTGTCAGGGCAGCACTACACCTGACATAAAGCTGTTACATGGTACCAGTGTTGGGGGACACACACACAACAAATTCTGGTAGACCAGATTCTCAGGACAGTGGCTCTTCTGTATTTAAAAAAACTAAGCCTAGCTCCGAAAATACTAACTCAAATATATTCAAAATATGGCTCTTCATAAGAAAAATCACAAGCACTGAGGGTATTTCAACCTTTACCTGTACAGATAACATCTGTTAACAACATGTGTACACATTCCCAATATAAAAACAATGGTTATAAACAGAAGTAATTCTGAACGAGAATTACTATATATACAGCGTTGGAAATGCAAACTACAAGCACCAAACCCAACTATCAAATTCTGCCAACCCTAGCTTGTCCCATGCAATGCAGTCCCAAATCAGAACAGTATCAGCTGTATCCAACCTAGGTCATTTTTAGGCTCTTTGTATCTCAATGAGAAAGAAGGGGCCAAAGAAGGGAACAAAGCACCTGTAAGAAGAAAGGTGACTGGCTGCAGTGGAAGGGGGATGAAAAGAAAGCAGTAATAATATTTGGAAGTATATGAGAAGGGGACAACATAAAAAGGAAAAGGAACAGCGTGGAAACAGCATGGTAACAGCAAGAAAAAGCACTGGAAACAGATGCAGAAATCCAATACCCCTCTCTCATACAGCACCCTGTGAAAGGAATAAGATTATTTTGAGAAGATGCTTTCACCTTCTTAGGAAGCATAAAGGACTTGCCACTTTCAGAAACAAACAAATCAACAGGACCTGTCATCAGATCTGGTACAGCAAATCCTATGACCCTTCAAAGCGTTGTGGCATCCGGGTTAATCTGCACTGTGCAATCATTACAAATCTTCCTGTGCTCTTTGTTTTGGCTATAACAGGGCCTTCGTGAATGGTCTGCACGCTGATTCATCAAGACTAGTCTGTAATGTGTTATTTTTTATTTATTTATTTATTTTTACTAAATACATTTGTTATTGATTTAGAGATTGTATCTCCATTCAGGCTCTGACTGCTGACCATAGCTTATGCTAAGAACATGGAATTCACTAGAGGAAACACAAAAAGAAATAAAGAAAAAGTCCAAGGATTCCTGAGGAAAGTAAAGTCAGCAGCAGACAGGAGAAAATCAGAGCCCTGTGTTAGGCAGCCACAGCTGTACATTCTACGTCTGACACTACTAGAGGAAACATGTCACCTCATGCTTATTTTCTTTGAATTGAAAAAAAAAATTTTTTTTGTATACCAAGAAGCAACAGATACTGCAGTCCCCATAACAAGGAGGACAAAAGGCCTATTGTTTAATGATTTCAATTAAATTAGCAAATGGCAGAAAATTAAGCAGCATTCCAAGCATTTCAGTGTTGCGTGGGGCTACTTTCAGTGGATCTGAATGCCTGAAAAGGCCTTTCCAGCTTGAACCACTGGCTGATGCACAGCATACTCTAACCATAAGCCCTTGTGCTTCTGGCAGAGATAGGCACAAAACCAAAAGCAAGCTTTTACTAATGCTATTAGCATGTTAACAGCAGCTGTCTGCACTGCTCAGTGTTAGTAAAAGCGGTTACATATTACATTCATTAATACTTCAATATTTTAGCAGTCTTTGACATTATTTCTTGGTCTTCATAACATCAAGATACGTCAGTATTTGAGACAAGCTTCTCTTTGCATGCTTAGCTACAGAACTAGAACTCCAGTCATCTTACCCTAGCAGTCAAAATTAGTCTACAGTGAAGAGCACAAACCCACTAATATCTTACCATTTCAAGCCTGTAGAACTTTGTGCTCTGGCTATGAATTTGATACCAAATTACACAGTTTGTATTTCAAATAGCCTATCACTGACAAATGAACACTACTAGGTACTGTTTGATATTACTGGGAAAGAATTATAACATTGGTATTGTAATTATTGCTGTACTTTTTGACCCTTCCTTTACTGGGGAGGACTTTTCTCTTAAGTTCTCAGCATTACTAGCAAACCATCAGCTCCAGACGGGTTACAAGCAGTTAAAAAAATAAAATAACTGCAGACAAGCTAGCACTGTTCTACAAAATTAAGTCATATTTAATGAATAGAGCTGATGAAAAATAAAGAACAAACTGCTGGTAGCTTCTCTACACTGTACGACAGTAACGGTTAGAATTTTAATGAGAAGTAAAACAAGTCTAAGAAGTATATACTATCCTTTTTTCTTCCCTAGGAATAAGAAAGTAGGTCCTACCTATTTAGATAACAACTTTCCTCAAAGAGATTCATTGACATGGGATCAGATAAGTGCCTTAGATGAACAGGAGACATTGCTGTAAGGTTTAACAAGGACGTTCTCAGTAAGAACTGGATAGAATCTAGATCTTGTTTCCAGCACAGCCCTGCCAGATTCCCAGATGTAACGATCCTTAAAATAAACTGTAAGATATACATCTCTCTCTTGATACCCTTGTGTACGGCATTCCTACCTAGTGCAGGGAAGAAGGCAAATAAAGGTCATTTTCACATCTGAAACAAGGTCGTATCTCTAGGAAGATTACTAAGCACAAATTAATGCCAGGAAGTGGGCTGTATAACAAAAGAAAAAAAGAATCAGCAAATAATTTTAAAATGTTATGGAAATACAGTTGTAACTAATTTTAATCATTTTTCAGGAACTATATTTTAGAATATACAGTATATTAAAATATTTACTAATAATAGGCAAGTGTTACAGAATCTTTATCAAAAGATGTGACACTTTCTCCATTATTTAAAGGTTAAGTCGATTGCAGGAACAATCCCATCCTAACAAGCAAGTTATCACAGATTATATATGAATTTGTGGCCTGCATCATACATGGGTTCCAAGTGACTGACAGCAGCCCTACCCAGCCTTCAGAATTACAGCTTGTTTCACCCGTGCACTAAGCCTGGAATTACAAGGACATGAAGCATTACACACTAATATTGTACTTGTACAAGGCAGTATTTTAGGAGCAATGACAAAAATCAGTTAAATGGATAAAATCCAACTAGGATTACATTTGCACATAACTGTTTGCAAACTGCTAAACTGTTTGCATTAAAACCATGTTCTCTCATGTCTAGACATACTTTATGTCTTGCTAACAGTTCCTTCCAGCTAAACTCTAATCAGCATTTCTCGATACTCAACAGTGTTTTTGTGAGTTTTTTTTTTTTTAAAGACAGAGAACAGAAAGGCACAGAATTAAATAAAGATCAATTCTTTCATACTGAAATCTTTCCTTCCCTCCCAATGATTACTTTTGACCTGATACATAGGAGTACCTGGTAAAGCATTCCGATCACTGGAAAGTAACCCCATGCAAGCAATTTCTCAGAAACATTTAAATCTACAACTCACACCCAAGATTTTGTAGTTCACTGAGACAGACAGAGAACCTACGTATTATTTATACAGCAAATAAGAAACACATTAGAACAAGACAGCATTATACAGCTACAAGTTTTCTATCTAGACAACAAGACAACTTCTTATCTGTTTATTTCATGAGTTTGCCACAAACTACATGGGATCATTTTATCATCCAGTTAAACTGGATGATAAACTAGTGAAAAAAACAAAGAGGGGGCAGATGAAAAAGACCAGAATTGTTTCCACTTCTAGAGGGCTTATCCAGAATACAAATGCAGTGAAATTATGACACTTTCTAATTTGACAGGGAGAGGGGGGGAAAAGAAAATGAATTTCCACACAGATGGCTTGAAGATTACAGCTGAGTCCCTTTCTTAAAGCATCTCGAACACATTACATAGACGTTTTCAAAGCTTCTAGTATACAGCCCTAACACATACACTGTATTTGTACCAAATCTAGCACAACAGGTTACCAAGCCACAGCAGGTTCAAACAGAAACAACTCCACCCTAAACAATCCTTCAAATACGTTATATTATATGCTGTGATTTCCCTCTGTCCGTATAGCTTCAGGATCCTAACTACTGTGGCACCAGGATTCTTATGTTTTATGTTGTGTACACAGATGCTATAAACACTTGTTACAGAGGACAAATCCAAAACCTGTAGAGCATTGAGGCAACGTGGGAAAGAAAAGCAGAGAAGAAAAAATCCAAGACAAACAAACAGGTCTTAGAACAGAGCACCCCTTCACAACCTGCTATTGCTCCGTCACAAATAACGCATTGGATTTCCATTTGAACAACCAAAAGCTCA